ATATATATATCTCACCAAAACATGGTGAACAGGGCATTATGTAAAAATTATGTATCTCTTTAAGGATACCAGCAATTAGGTTTGTAGTATTTTAGCCATTTTTTTAAATAAACAAAGCTAATTTCTTTTTACATGCAGATATACATTATGCATTTTACTTTAATTGAATCATTTTAATTAAAAATGAAGCATTGTTTTGATGAGCTGTAAGGCCATGCAGCATGCCAATAAAATAAAATAAACGTCTTTAGTTGTCTGCTTCTCTGCAGCGAATCATCAATGCAATAAAAATGTGACTTAAACTGTGTAATTAATTTCATGAGCTGCACAGTTAGATGTTATCCTTTTCTTTTTGTCACATGAAACAGCTCTGGCTCCAGTTCTGCACATGTGAAATCAGACCATACTCAGATTTGCTTCTCTCCCATCTGGAAACAAATGATGATTGAATACCCGATGCGCTTTCATCCTCACCCTCAGCCGTTTCCATCCCAGACTTGGCACTTAGGAATACATCCCTTTCATTTCTCATCAGAAAACCAGTTCAATACCCAGTGGCAGCGCAGGCTGGCTCAGGCACCTTTGTACCCATTTTGACTGGCTTCTCATCAAGTCTTGGTCTGCCAAACACTGAGGGGCCCTCCATCACTGGCAGACACACAATCACAGGTTGCTGGCTGGGTTATTACGAGTCATTCATCTTCTGTTTCAACTTCACGTTACCTTCAGCTTTCCTTCAGTACTTTGAATACTTTCTTCCGAGACATTTGCCTGTTCATATCACTTGTTTACATCTTCTTCAACTTGTTTGCTTCTCACCTTCAGCTTTACTCCACATTACTCTGTGCACCTACAGGTCTGTGGTTTAAACACACATGAAACACGTAGCACAAAATAGACTCAATCAAAGCACATTGGTGAGCTCTAATAATGTGCTGGTGAATGTCCAACGACATGCTGTGTATGCACCACAAGACATGAGGACCCCTACCCCCTGTTCCCAAAAGAAATCAAGCAGGCCACGTCCATTGTTCATTTGATTTGCCGCATGAATTCCTGCTGCTTCTGAGCAGATGGAGAGTAAATGTGTGAGAATTAATATCTGTCTCCGAAGACAAACTTCCTGAAATGTAAGAACAAAACAGATCAAAAGGCAAATGAGGAAATCCTCGTATCATGGAAAGTGCCATGGGATTCTTCCTCTAGTGCACACATGTGCTTCCATCTACAACACCTGATTGACTGATGTTCCAGCTGTACACACAACAGGTCCTTTTCTCTAAAGGATTTAGTTTCTCCTATTTATTTTTTACCTGCTGCTCTTGGCTCTTTTTATGATGCACATTAGTTGTGCTTTTGCTGCTGTCAGGTTTTCATGTAGGCTTATTTTGCAATTGGTTCTAGATGACTTTGAAGGACAGAAGAGAGGCAGCGACGACTGGAACAAAACCATTAAGGTCTCGAAAATGGTTCAACAGTGTGAAGCACCAGTTCTGTTGTAAAAATACCCTCAATTAACCATGTTATGAATTCCTTCTACAACTCATCCAGTGACTGTGGATTTTATATTTAATTGCTTTGCATATTTGAACATTAGGTGCTCCATAGACTGCCCAGTGTCACTTGAACAGCACAGCATCACTTGTGTTTTAGATGGATTGACTCTTATATTATGAGACATGGATCAACAGAGCATTTGGTAAAGGTCTGTGCACTTGCCTGCCAGTCCAGTACAGCCCTCCTTGTGTTGTACTTTCCTCAAACTGTGTAAAATCACTACAAACATCTTGTCCAAAAATGATACAGAAAAACTGGTCCATGCATTTATCACATCTAGGTTGGACTATTGCAATTGTTTATTATATGGGTGTCCAAAAATGTCTTTAAAAAAAGTCTTCATCCAGCCATTCACCCATTTTCTTTGGCTTATCCAAGGTCGGGTTGCAGGGGTAGCAGGGGTAGCAGGCTAAGTAGGGAGGCCCAGACTTCCCTCTCCCCAGCCACTTGGTACAGCTCCTCCAGGGGAATCCCAAGGCGTTCCCAGGCCAGCCGAGAAACATAGTCCTTCCAGCGTGTCCTGGGTCTTCCTCTGGGTCTCCTCCCAGTGTGACGTGTCCAGGAGGCATCCTAATCAGATGCCTGAACCACCTCAACTGGCGCCTCTCGATGTGGAGAAGCAGTGGCTTTACTCTGAGTCCCTCCCAGATGACCGAGCTTCTCACCCTATCTCTAAGGGAGAGCCCAGACACCCTGCAGAGAAAACTCATTTTGGCCACTTGCATTCGTGATCTCGTTCTTTTGGTCACAACCCAAAGCTCATGACCATAGATGAGGGTAGGAATGTAGATTGACCGGTAAATTGAGAGCTTTGCCTTTTGACTCGGCTCTCTCTTCACCATGATAGATCAGTACGGCACCCACTTCACTGCAGACGCTGCACCTATCTGCCTATCAATCTCTTGCTCCATTTTCCCCTCATTCTTGAACAAAATCTCGAGATACTTAAACTCCTCCACTTGGTGCAGGACCTCATCCCCGATCTGGAGAAGGCACTCTACCCTTTTCCGGCTCAAGACCATGGCCTCGGATTTGGAGGCACTGATCCTCATCCCGGCCGCTCACACTCGGCTGTGAACCACTCCAGCGAAAGGTGTAGATCATGACCTTATGAAGCCAGTAGGACCACATCATCTGCAAAAAGCAGAGACTGATCATAAGGCCACCAAAACGGATCCCCTCAACACCTTGGCTGCACCTAGAAATTCTGTCCATAAAAGTTCTGAACAGAATCGGTGACAAAGGTCTTCAGGTGACAAAGTCTTCAGTTGATCCAAAATGCTGCTGCCAAATTTTTAATGAGAGTTGGTTGGAGAGATCATATCTCTCCAGTTTTAGCTTCTTTCCATTGGCTCCCTGTCAAATTAAGAATATAATTCAAAATCTTACTTCTAATCTACAAAGCCCTAAACAACCTAGCTCTATCTTATATTACAGATCTTATTGTTCCATATTTTCTTAACAGAGCACTTTGCTCTCAGACTGCAGGTTTACTTGTGGTTCCTAGAGTTTCCAAAAGTAGAATGGGAGGCAGAGCTTTCAATTATCAGGCTCCTGTCTTGTGGAACCAACTTCCAGTTTCTGTCCGTGATGCTCAAATCTTGTCTGCTTTTAAGATTAGGCGTAAATCTTACTTTTTTGATAAATCCTATAGTTAAGGTCGGCTTGGGTTTACTGAGCATTGTTATGCTTCTATAGGCTGTAAAAGCTTTTGTACAGTGCCCTGAGATGACTTCTGTTGTGATTTGGCACTATATATAAATAACCTGAACTGAACTGCTTTTTGTGTGCATACGGATAAACTCAGAACAAAAAAAGACATTGATTTAAGACATGCATTAGCATTTATAAATATGCAGGTGATTAAGTGTCCAAGAAAAGTTAATGTGCCAAAACTAATAGACATTATTCAGGTCAAAAGTAACTTTAATGAAAACCAGTTCATGGTGGTTCTGAGAGCCAACCTCAGGTTCAAAGGTCATGATTAGGAAAGGTTTACTTCATGCTTCACAGGTCTGACTGGCATTCCTGGTTCTCTCCTTGTTCAAGAGTACAAACTGATGGATGATGACATGAAGTGTGCAGTTCTATTTGGGATTTTCCTATTGTTTTGTATATCTAAGGGCACACATCGGATTCTAATTTCTTACAATGAACTTGACTTCAACCCCAATGTCATGCATGAGATGCTTCCTCTTGATTTACTAGAAAAAGTTTAGGAATCCATTCCTTGCCTAATTGATTCTGTCAATACTGAAAGAGGGCATATTTTTCTACTAGAAAACTGGGCGTGAACCTCTTCAGAAAAACATTCCATGGTCAGTAGTTGCCATCATGGACTATACTGTATACACCTTCATGGTTTTGTATCACATTTGAGAAGAAGTTATCAAAGCACATTGACAACCAAAGAGGGATGGTATGTTCCAAAAAGAAAGCTGTGGTACAAACACTTATCAATGCATAGATGGTGACATTAGAACCACCAATGTCTGGAAGATTCCAAGTGGTAAAATAATTATTTCCACTAACAACAATAGACACCAGCCTGGCAGAACACTACCAGATGTTACGTCAGCTAATGAAGAGTCTGAAGTTCAGCAACCCTAATGACTGTCTTAAAGATTTTGTTGGATCACTCAGTAATTGCAGGTTGATACTCGCCTATGTCTTTAAATTCCAATCTCTAAAATATTTTTCAAATGTAAAAAAAGAGTATTCCTTTCAGATATATCAGCTTAACAAATCAGGGGAAGGAGAATATTAACTTTTGGAAGAAAAAATAATAATTCTGATAGTCTCCACAACTGTCTCCTGAATTTTCATCATGTGACTCATCAACTTAATTATGCTGTAGCTGCTACATCACACTTGTTCTTTAAAATGGGCACCAGCATACTTCTCTTCCATTCCTCAGGTATTTTCTGACTTTCAAAAAATTCCTTTGCAAAACTGAGTCAAAACCTCACTACCATCTCTCCTAGACATTTCCAAACCTCCACTGGTATTTCATCAGATCCAACTGTCTTCCCTTTCTTCCTCCTCTTCAAAGCTTTACAAACTTAATTTCTCACTTATCTTTCCCACTTTGTGGTCCACAGTTTCTATGACCTCTACTTTTCTTTGTCTTTCATTTACTTCATTTATTAGTTTGTCAATACTACCGATTGCATTCTGCTTACTTGGTAGAACATTACCATTATTAACTTTACAAAGGCATAACCTGCTACACATCCTTTCCAGCCTGATCCTTCTGTCTCACCAGAGGATAAAAGTCCTTCTCCTTCTTCTCAACGTCCAGCCTCTTGTACAACTCATCGTACACCTTCTGTTTTGCCTTTAAAGTAATACTGATCATGACATGTTACATAGGTGACAAAGCACATAAAAAGTGAGTCTGGTTGCATTTTCAATGTGTTCAACATAATGGTACTTCCTCCAGTTATTTAACAGTCAACAATGGTGTACCACAAGGCTCAGTCTTAGGACTCACCCTCTTTACAATCTACATACATAATGTTGGTAAAAACATCCCTAATGCATCCATACATTTCTATGCTGATGACACAGTTGTTTATTGTCGAGCTAAAACTGTTGCTAAGGCTTTCCAGCTTTTGAAATCTGCATTCAACTTCATTCAGACTGATTTGTTTTGCCTCAAACTTGTCCTAAATGCCGACAAAACAAAAGGGATGCTTTTATCAAATAGGAAGTTGGTCCCAGCAGTTCTTCCTCCAATTTTATCCTCAAATGGTGTCCCCATTGAGTTTGTTGATTCCTATAAATATTTGGGTATCTTGGTCGACTCACATCTCTCTTTTAAGCTCCATGTGGAAAACTTGATAAAGAAACTGAAAGTTAAACTGGGTTTCTTTTTCAGAAACAAATCCTGTCTAACCCTGAATGCTAGAAAACGCCTTGTATCTGTGACTT